TGAGCCTAGGGAACGCTTTCTGTTGGATCCTGTTTACTGCTCAAAACAGAGATGCGTGTGCTCTGGGGGAGGGGCCGCCGCCAGAGGTTCCGATCGCCAGGAGCTGCGTTCATTCATTTAAATCACCGGCGTCCCTTTCTCATTCACCCCCTCCTGCCTCTCACCCATCTGAACTCCCCTGTAACCGCTGGGGAGGCGGTTTGTCTTCCCACCCAAGCTCCATTAGGTCCTATACTTGTGGTCAAAGACCTGTCATGTGGCCCATGAAAACTTTCACTTCCAACTTGGTTAAAATTAGACACAGAAGTGATCTGCAGCAGGAAAAAAAAACCTGTTGTTTTCAAACCAGACTCCCTCGTGACTCCAGAAACCTGCCCTCCAGCCTTAACTTAGTCATATCCTCCTGAAACTGTTTGCTTATTTCAAAGTTCTTGTTCATCCGTGGCTTCCCTCATTCGAGTTCCTTATGCAACTCAGTTCTCAGTAATGTAGGTCGACTCTTGAAGCGATTGTTGGGGAAAGTGACAGCCTCGCTCTAGGCAACACTTTTCATCCAACATCCATTGCTTTGAAAGAATCAGAACCTTCTATTTGCTGCAAGAAGTCACTGTGGGTCCTCATGACTCCTCATTCCATCCTTATAGTTCCTACTTTGCTGATATCACTTTATTTGTCGGTCCCGGAGAGGCTGTGCATTGTCCTGTAAATTGGAGATTTTTAAAGATCAAAATACCCTTCTGAAAATTCCATTGACGCAGGCTCTGAAATAATACGACTCATCCTCTTCCCTTACTGCACAGTTTATATTTGAGGCAACTGAAGTCCAGAGAGCCAAAGTGACTATCCAAGGAAACAAGGTAGGAAGTGGCAGAGCTGATACTAAAAGCCAGGAATTTTGACGCTGGGTCTCATATGTTTTCTCTGTGCAAGTGTGGTCCACAGAGCAGCAGCATTAGCATCGCCTGAGAGCTAGTTAGAGAGGTGAGACCTCAGTCTCCTCCCGGATCTGCTGCGTCTGCATCTGCGTCTGTAATTTAACAGGATCCTTAGGAAACAAATATACACAGTAAAGTTTCAGACGCACAGCCCTGTGTCATGCTGGCTACTCTGACACAAATAAAGGAAGATCGGTCATTGGAGGGAGCAGGTCTGTAGACGTGAACAGTCCATGTGACTTCTCCCTCCAGGCCTCTGAACCCGTGGGGTATAGAAGAGAAGGATTTATTACAACTGCCCCGTCTGAAAGTTTTAAAACCATTACAGTTTGAAGTAAACTGTTATCAAATCTGTGTTTTTGAGGTTGTGAGTCTAGCCTTTATAGACAGTGTATTCAAACAAAGGAACATAATTACCAATCAATTACAAAAGCAACCTGGTGACTAGATACATGGGTCTAAGCTTAAGCCACCTTATAAAGATAGAAACATTCCTTTTGAAAGGTTAAGATTCGGAGGTCACAGTTTTCAAGTTGTTGATCAAGTAAGGTCGTTCCCACCTCAGTTGCTCACACATGAAATGCGGGACGTGGCCCATGAGAACTTTCACTTCCTTTGGGCTTACTGATCAACAAATTGGGAAAGATCAACAAACTGCTAATAAATGCCTGGTGTTTTGAGCTTGGGTGTGAGCCTCTTGAGAGAAGAAGCTGGCTTTAAACCTTCTGGGGTCTCAACAGAGTGACATATGTGGGTAGAAAGTTTTTATATCTATGATAACGCTGACTACCTCTGACTGATATTATTTCATTATTGTGCATGACTTTTTTATTGTCATCCACTTTAAAAATCCATTTGTAAAGGGGCAGGGTATCAACGTATTTGTCTTATTTTTTAAGTTTGCTGTATAGTAATTCCTGCTGTCTCGTTAGGATGCAGTGACCATGGAATGTAGGCTCCCCTCCAACCTTAGTTGCTAGGAAGAACGGTTTTTAAATAAACTTTTTATTGAAGTATAGCAACCACAAGAAAAGCTCAAATCATACAGGTGCACCCTGATGGATTATCACAAAGTGAGCACCTCTGGGCAACCACCAACAAGATAAAGAGATGGGACCTTCCAGCTTCCCAGAACTCCCCCCACATACCCCGTCCCACACACATCCCCCTTCTGCCTCCCCAGAGGTTACCCTTATGGAGGAGGAAGAATCATTTCATGTTTTGACAGAGTAGCCAGATGTTACGTAAAATAGTCTAGACACTTGCCAGAAGAGAATCGCTATATGGTGAAAGCCCAGAAGAGTGAGCGGCTTCCCTCCCTGTGGAATGTCTCCATCCCTCCCTATGGAATGTCTCCAGCCCCCCCTGTGGAATGTCTCCATCCCTCCCTGTGGAATGTCTCCATCCCTCCCTGTGGAATGTCTCCATCCCTCCCTGTGGAATGTCTCCATCCCTCCCTGTAGAATGACTCCATCCCTCCCTGTGGAATGTCTCCATCACTCCCTGTGGAATGTCTCCGGGAGCTTGTTTTCCTCCTGCTGGAAAGCCGGAGACATTCAGATAAATGGATGAAGTGCAGGTCACATCACTGGTGATTGCTGGCTTGTGGGTCCTGCCCAGATCCCAGGGCAGGCAGCTGGCGTGGGGGGTGGCGCTGGCTGGTCCTCCTGAACAGCATTGAGCAGTAAAGGATGGTGACTCAGACCAACCCCCAACGTCATTTTCCACGCTCTGCAGGCCTCCCCCTCTGCGCTCTCCCCTCTCGTGTGGAGTCCCTGGGCCCTTTCGTGAGAAAGTTCCTGGAACGCATGGCTGTGGGTGTGCTGATGTTTCCTCTTACCAGCTGCTCTGGGGAAGGGCTCTGACTTCCTCCATGTTCAGGGCAGGAAACCCAGCTTGGCTGGAGGTAAACAGCCAGAGGTGAGCACCCGACGGGGGAAGTGTTGAACGGACACTTGAAGTGGCTCTAAATTTACCCCGGCCTGCTCCTGTCTCCACCTCCCGCTCAGGCCAGAGAAGCCTCCCTGGAGCCCACAGGGGAGGATGGAGGTGCAGCTCCTCTGCTCATGTGCAGAGCACGTGGGCAATGCCCTTCCCAGCGGGGTCCATCCTCCCAGGGGAGATGATGGTGTAATTGTTGAAAGAAGTGGAGCTCCAGAGTCCCCCAGGCAAGTGGTGCCTATTCCCTGACCTTGATGCCAATGTCTGCTCCCTCCTCTTATTTGCATTTCTCTGTGTGTGTGTCTCCCCCTCTCTTCCACTACCTCTAAGAAAATCAATGGAAAAATATATGTCCTCGGGTGAGGATCAACAAACAAACAAATAAAATTCATGAAGCAGTACATGCTCTAAAGCAGCGGTTCTCACCCTGTGGGTCGCGACCCCTTTGGCAGTCGAATGACCCTTTCACAAGGGGTCGCCTAAGACCATCCTGCATATCAGATATTTACATTACGATTCATCACAGTAGCAACATTATAGTTATGAAGTAGCAACGAAAATAATTTTATGGTTGGGTCACAACATGAGGAACTGTATTTAAAGGGCCAGAAGGTGGAGAACCACTACTTTAAAGGAAGTGAAGCAGGGCAACGTGACAGAGAAAAATCGGAGGCGTCGTGGGGACTTCACCCGCTAGGGTGGTCAGGGAAGGCCGCTCGGAGAGGGGACATTTGAGCTGAGATGGGATGATGAGCTGTAGCTAACTATTCATCCAGCTGCAAGAAGAGGGTTCCAGAAAGAAGGGCAGGCAGCTGCCAACACCCTGAGATGGGAACAAGCCTTATCCTGTAAGGACAGCAGGAAGGCCCCTGGGGATGAAGGTCAGCGAGGGGCAGGAAGGTTGGCAGAGACAGGGTCATAGGCGCAGGCAGGGACCATGGGGTCCTGGTGGCCCCATAGGCTGCGGAAGAAGCTGCCCGAGGGTGATAAGCAGGGAGTGAGCAGGTCTGGCTGCTGGGAGAATGGGCACAGATGGAAAGAGGGACTCCAGCCAGGGGATGGATGGCAGCTTGGACGAGGCTGGTCACCATGGAGACAATGGGACTGGACAGGATTCAGGACATGCTCTGGAGAGAGGGCTACCAGGACTCTAGAAGAAGCATGGTGAGTCCGGAGCTTGTAAATATTCACTAACTATCCCTGTGTGAATGCACGTGCCTGCACACACACACACACACTGTCCTCCCTAGACCCACAGTGCAGGGTGGGGGCCCAGACTCTGGAGGCAAAATGCCCGAGTTCAAATTCCAACTCATCCACTTGCTGGTGAAAAAACTCAGTAAGTCACTGAACCTCTCTGGACCTCGACTCTTCATCTGTAAAATGGGGCGGTAATGGAGGCGCCCAGTAGGGCTGCTGTGAGGATTGAATGAGTTACTGTAGGGAGAGCACTTAGGAGGGAGTGCCTGCCACAATAGGCGTTCGTTTCCAATGTTGCCGCATCAATTAATGGCTTCATGTAAACAACGTACATTTATTCTCCTGCAGTTCTGGAATCAGGGTCTTCGCGAGGCTGGTTCCTTCTGACAGATCCAGTCCTTGACTTTTGCAACTTCTAGAGCAGCCGTGGGCAAACTACAGCCCGCGGGCCGGATCCGGCCCGTTTGAAATGAATAAAACTAAAAAAAAAAAAGACCGTACCCTTTTATGTAATGATGTTTACTTTGAATTTATATTAGTTCACACAAACACTCCATCCATGCTTTTGTTCCGGCCCTCCGGTCCAGTTTAAGAACCCATTGTGGCCCTCGAGTCAAAAAGTTTGCCCACGGCTGTTCTAGAGGCTACAGCTTTCCTTGGCTCCTGGCCGCGTCATTCCAACCTCGGCTTCCGTCGTCACAGCCCCTTCTCTTGTGACCTTGCCTCCCTCTTACAAGGAGGACCCTTGTGGTTCTATTTAGGGCCTGCCGGGATAATGCAGAATAATCTCCGCATCTCCAAATCCTTCATTTAATTACATCTGCCCAACCCCTATGGCCATAGAAGCTAATGCTCACGGGTTCTGGAGATTAGCACATACATAGCATTGGGAGCTGTTATTCAACTCACCACACATGGCAGCAATGAAGGTTCATTACTATTATTGTCATGATCATCATTATTCCTCCCTCAGCTGCCCAGACCATAGCCCCAGCCTCTTCCCAAACTATGAGGGAGAGGAAAGGATGTGGGGAAACCCCTTTCTATCTCCCAGAAGCCCCCTGAGACAGGCTTGGAGCCCAGTTCCGGGCTGGGGGTGATGAGAGGACTGGGAGCAGAAAGCAGACGAGGCAGGAACGTGCTGACAGGCCTCATGTGGGGTCGGGGAGAGGGTCCTTAGCACAGCTAAGGCTTCCTGATGGCGCTGAATTGGATGAGCTCCTCCTGGCTCCTGCTGGGAAGGGGGGTGATGAGGTCCTGTGTGTTGCTGTAGATTGAGTCCTGATCCAAGGTGTCCAGAGACAGAGCCTCATAGAAAACCTCCGTCCCCAGAAAGGGGGCCTGTAACAGAGATGCACGCAGGTCAGGGAAGCTGAGTGGGAGGGGTGCTCATGGATAAGGAGGCCTCCCTGAGGCTGGGGGACACGCCCCTTGGGAACTCTGAAGTCCACTCCCATGCAGGGCACCCTGAGCTCCAGCCACAGCAGGAGACTCTCCCTCAACTCCATGCCAGGGCAGCACGTTCTGTGTGTGCTCCCAGGTCACTGGGCCTGTCTGGGTCTCCACTGACCAGGCTCCCAGTCCCCCATCTCCACTGACCAGGCTCCCAGTCCCCCATGTGGAGACCTGATATGGAGACACTTCTGAAGGCCAAGCTCCTGGGGAGCTCAGAGGCAAGTCTTTCAACGGCTGCGATTGTGCCCGGCACCCACCCTCCTCTGTGCCCACAGGGGCGGGAGAAAGTCCATCCTCAAAGCAGGGACGATGAATCCAAGGCCCACAGCAGCCCCAGCAAGTACCCACCATGGTGATGTACTCCACTTCCCCCTGGTCGTCCTGGGCAGAGGAGGAGGGCTCTGTGGGGGCCCTTTTCCTGAAGGAGCTGAGCGAGGCTCCTGTCTGCTTCCAGGGCAGGTTGGCATAGCAGACATTGTCCTCCGGGGGCTGGAGCACCTGGGAGAGGAAGCCCAGGTTCCTCTTCCGCAGAAGGACGCCAGCCCCTCTGCTGCCCTGCCCCCCCCCTCCCAGCTTCCCCTGCAGCTCCCACCTCTCAGTCTCCCACACCTGCCCTCTCCTTCCTGGCTGTTTCCAGCACCCCTTCCGTTCATCCAGGCCTTGCAGCCGGGAGGATCTGGACACTTGGGCACATGGTCTGTCTGATACATTTGAACCTCAGGGCCCCTGAGAGATGGAAAATAAGAAAAGCGGGGGAAAGTGCTGTCTGGTGTATCCAGTCTGACCTCAGGGGCTCTCTTACCTGCTCTGGGGGTATCCCAGCAGCTAAAAGACAAAAATAACCAGAATTAGAAAGTTCATCCTGAGACTGGGAGGGTGCCCAAGTCTGGGGGAGAGAAAAAGAAAAGAAAAGAGGTGAATGAGGCTCCAGAAGGGAGACCTGGTTCTAATTCTGATTCTTCAGATGACACCGTCTGTGACATGGGGCATTCACCTCTCTGGGCTTCCATTTCTCGACTTGAAAAATAAGGGGACCTCAGCTCAGTTCCCCTCATCGCAGAACTGTGACATCAACTGACTGGGGGGCCCAGCCAGCCATCAGCGTCCTGGGATTGTTTCCCTCACTGCCATGCCAGGGTCATCCTGTAATGTCAACCAGATGCTCTGCCTGGAATGCTACTGGGAGCGCTACCTCATCCGTCATTCACACCGACCTCCCCAGCCGCCCGGCTGTCTGATCCCCTCTCCCCAGCTCTCACTGCACTTGGTGTCTGTCCGTCTCATACATCAGACGGTCCCACCGAATTCCGGTTAGACTTCAGGTGGGCTGTGGGCTGTGGGCTGTGGGCTGCTGGGTGGCTGAGCCTGCCCTTCCTCGCATGGCCGGCGCCTGGCTGTGAGTAAAAGTCATCTGTGGAGACCCAGGGGTGCTCAAGCTGGGTCAGCAGCAGATGGACCGGCTTTCAGGTGTTCGCTGGTTCCCATTTCTGTCTGTCCTTTGTCCTCCCCTGGCCTCCCAGCTTTAGAGACAACAACGAAACAAGACGTTTTCCCGCCAGATTTTTAGTTTCAAAAGTCCAGATACTGAGGAGCACAGAAAGTACCTACAACATGAGTCACGGACAATGCACTTGGGAGAAAACGTGATGAACAGAGCTAGGCTTCCCCTCCCAGATTATAAGATCCCCCAGGAGGGGGGTGGAGAGGACCCCATGAGAGAGAGTGCAGGACCCAGTGGGCTCTGAGAAGGGGCGGTGCCATTTTGTGAGGATGTGGAAGTGGAGCCAGACAGGAGGAGGGTTTGCTTGGAGCCAGATCCCGTTGGATGATGCTGGCTTATGAGTGAATGGCTGGGGTGGAGGAGGAGCAAAAGTAGGAATCTCAACCAACCTTTATAATAAAACCCAGAGGATTCTGTGTGTGACGCATATGCATGCACAAGTATGTGCATACATATCATCTGTGTTTACACATGCATGTGTTATCTGTGTGTGCACGTGCAATGTGTTGTGTTGCATACATGTGTGTGTGCTCATGCAGGTGTGTGCACATTCACGTGAGTGTGTGTGTGTGTGTGTGTGTGTGTGTGTGTGTGTGTGTGTGTTTCTCCCTACCCCCATGTCAGCTCAGTACCTCCTTGGCAACCATAGGAATTTCACTGAAGTGTCTGCGCTCCTGACATGGGCATGAGGTCATTGCCATTGGGTCCACACACTTGAGCTCCAAGGAGCCAACCCTGTCGACATCGGCCCACACACTTCCACCCAGCCCAGCCCAGCCCAGCCCAGCCCAGCCAGGTCCTCTCACCTTCCTTCTGTCGCTTCACCACTCTCCACACCAACAGTGAGACTACCACCAAGACAAGCAGCAACAGAACAATGAAGAGGGGCAGGGAGATGCAGAGCGTCAGGGAGTCACCGCTGGAAACAACAAAAGACACCGGTGAACCCTGGCTCACCTCCTGCCTCTGGGCCTTATCCCATCCACCCGGGAGCAGACAGGGCCACACACCTTTTGGCTTGCAGTTTCCACCCTGGGAACCCCACTCCTGGGTGCCCTCAAAAATGGTGGTTGTTTTTAAAGGAGAGGAGGGTTCCACAAGGGAGTTTCAATGGGTCTAGAAGCCTAAGAGAAGTTGTATGACAACAGGCACCGGCAAGGTCTCCCTGCTTCCTCACTGGTCCTCTGACCTGGTTGCATAGTGTCCCCCAGCCCACAATTCATGTCACTCAGAACCTGGGAAGATGACCTATTTGGAAATAAGAGCTTTGCAGATGTGATCAAGATGATGTCATACTGGATGAGGGTGGGCCTAACCCAACGACTAGTGTCTTTATAAAAGGAAAATTGGCGCAACAGGGACATGGTCACGGAGACCATGTGACAACAGGGGCAGAGACTGGAGTGATTCAGCCACAGGCCAAGTAACACCAAGGATTGCCAGCCACCAACAGCCAAGACAGAGGCATGGGACAGGTTCTACCCCCACGTCAGTTCAGTGCCTCCTTGGCAACCATAGGAATTTCACTGAAGTGTCTGGGCACCCGAAATGGGCCTAAGGTCATTGCCATCGGCCCACACACTTGAGCTCCAAGAAGCCAACCCTTTCGAAACCTTTATTTCAGATCATGGACCTCCTGGGCTGTGGGAGAATAAACTTGTCTTGTGTTAAGCCAGTTTGTGCTATTTCGTTATGGCAGCCACAGGAAACTCATACATCCTCCAACACACACACACACACACACTACAGTTCATCATCAGCACAGCAGCCAGGGAATGCTTTTAACCAAAGTTCAGCATCTCCCTCCTGTGCTCAGAATCCCATAACAGCCCCATTTCATTCCAAGAAAATGGCCAAGGCTGACATTGGCTTCCACTGTCTCCCCCCACCCCCACCCGCTCTCCTCATTTCTTACTCTTCTCGCCCTCACTTGCTCTTCTGGAAAGGAAATGACTGGGGTTCTTATAAAAGAAGAAGAGATTGGGACACAGACCCACACAAAGGGGAAGCCAGGCAAGACAGTCCTCTGTGAGCTGCCAGGTGGTCTAGAGACTCCAGGAATTGTCAGGATCCCCGCTGTTGCCATAACAGTAACAAGGAATTCATAACAGAAACAGGACTTCCCCAGGCCCTTCCTGTTCTCCCAGAATTTGGACCAGGGGGCACTATGGCCCCATGACCCTGTGCCCACACACCCTGGCCATGCCCTCTGCCCTGACTGCCTGCTCCTCCATCTCCCACACTCTCAGCTCCACATGGGACGCTCTATATCTGTGTGACCTGAGCTCAACACAGTGCCGGCCAAGCAGAATTTAACTCAGTGGAAGTGGGAAGGATGCGTGAATGAACCAACAAACCTCCGAACTGCACTGAGCTCCAGGACACAGGATGGGGGTGGGGGCTCACCAAGGACACTGTGTGGCCTGAGAGCAAGAGGAAGGGCCCCTGGCATCCTGGCTGGGACGTGGGACTACAAAGGGTCCCCACACCGGAGAAGTTTGGGACCAGTGGGCCACAGGGAACAGCAGCATCCAAGCTGACTTACCTGTCATCAGGGTGGAGGCTGGTCACATTCAGGAAGCCTGAGGAGTCTTCTGGGGTGTCTGTGAACGCGTTGGCAGTGGAGGTGATGGTGGGGGTGGGGGTCGGCACTGTAGTTGCTGCTTGTCATACAGAACAGATTACATTCCACTCTGCCTGCTGTCCCACCCGCAGCCCTGCACGTAGCTCAGAGCCAGGGAGGATGTGGGCTGCCCTGGCCTGCACAGCCTGGGGCAGGGCCACGGGAAGGGGCCTACAGCTGGGCCACTCATCTCTTTGGCTGTAGGAGACCTGGGCACAGGTCCAAGGGGTCATCTTACAGGCCCTGGAAGGCTCAGAGGGCCCAGGATTGCCTCAGGGCAATGGCAGCTGGAGTTCAGCTGAACTTTAAACACCCCTTTTGTTTATGGCAGGGCCTCCGCCAGTACCTCCCCCATCTTACTTATCCAGCAAGGACCAGAGCGGAATGGGGACGTGCCAGGTAAACTAACATACACAAGAGCTATGACTTCTAAGGTCAGGGCCAGCCCTGAGCAAAATCACGATGTTCAGGAAGAGTCTTTCCTTTGGACAAGTTTTTAAGTTTCTATGATGGGGTAGTTCCTGCTCAGGATCATTCTCGAGATCCCATGAGACAAGGAACGTGCTGCACTTGGCAGCTACCACAGGCCTCCCGGGTTCCAGGTGTGGTGGGGACGCTATGAGTGTGTCCCCTCCCGGCTATGAGTGTGTCCCCTCCCGGCCATGAGTGCCCTGTGAGCTGGTGCTGGCTGTCCGAGGGTCGGCGGAAGCAGAGCCCAACAGACACACTTGTTCACACCCAGATGCTCCCAGGAGTGTCTATTCCAGAAGGTCTCAGGAAGAGAACGTCTCTAAGCCCAGATGCATCCATGGCTCATGATGGGATGTCAGGCGCCCAGAAGGCAAGTGTTGGGCTGTGGAAGCCTTTCCAGACCTCGGGAGTGACCCACAGCCCCCAACTGTGCTGGGCCTCCTTCCCCTGAGACTAGATATGGAACAAGGGGTGGGACAGCGGCTATGAGCCCGGGCCCCAACCTTCAGGAAGAGCAGGGACACCAGGGCACCAGAGGTACCAGGGAGGCCTTGGCAGGAATTGGTTCCCAAAAAAGAGGCTTCCCTCAGCCCATGAGCTAAAACTGGGGCCATCACCGTGGTCTCTACAGCAATAGTCTCGGGTACTGAGCTGTTCAGAGAAAAAAATGTGCCCAGAAAGGCTTGATCCATCCTGGGGAGGTCCTGGGAGCCCCAAGAGCATCTAAGAGAAACCCTGAGCCTCCCAACCTAAGTGAGCAGCCGGGATTCCATGAGACCTCAGGACCAACCCCCCTCTGTGGCAGTTCATCTGAGTGAGTTCAGTCACTGGACAGGGACCTCAGGGACCAGGGCAGAGCAGGCCCTGAAGAGACACAGCCACACATGCACGTCCTCTTACCTGGTTCAATGATCACTTTAACAGGGACCCCAGGGTCAGATCCAGTTCTCTCAATCCCACACCAGTAAGTGTCTGTATCTTCTCGCCTGAGCTCCTTCATGATCACAGTGAACATGAGGCTTCTCGGATGGTCCCTGATGGACACACGGTTCTTCTTCACCATCTCTGATCCATTGGTTATAACGAGGATCTCACAGCTAATCCAATCATGCCCACGACACCACCACTTCCTGTAGGTCTCCCACCCGGGGTCATAGTGACATTGCACAGACAATGAGTGCCACTCCCCGCCTCTCACTTCTTTTGGTCCCGAGATGACATACGCTGAGTCTGGAAAACACAAATCCATGTACCTGTCACCTCCCCCACCACCACCCCGAGGGTCGGGCCGCAGCCGCCTGCACTGTGAGCAGCTCCAACAAGTCCAAGGCCTGAGGAGTGGGACAGAGTCAAGGAAGGAATTCACCTTCCACAACACAGACCTTTGTCCTTCCAAGTTCCACTGGCTCAGATCCACCTCCAAAACCACCTAACAGCACCCCTGCAGAGCTCAAGGAAACAAAAGCACTGACTCTGAGCAATAATTATCTCCTATAATTCGCTCCCTCCCGCTCCCTGTGGCCCATAAATCTTTGTCCTTTTGCAGCATCTCAGTGTTAAACTGGTCTCAGGGGGAGGAAGTACCAGCGGACCCATTGCCACAGGAGTGTGATTGCTCCTGACCTGCGCTGATGGCCTCAGGAGGTCCAGCTGCTGCACCCGCTCACCTGGCTGTGCAGAGGCTGCTCCTAGTGGGTCTAGTGGTTCCACAGCAAAGCACCCGCTGCAGGGCCTTTGACATTGACCACAGCAGTGATGCCAACCATGGAATCCATATCACACTGATCCCACGTTCTCCATTGAATTGCTTTGGTTTCTTTGTCAAAAGTAAATATGTGAGTTACTTATAGATTTTCCTTGCTGACCCATTGATCCCTTTGTCTATCCTTATGCCAATCCATCGTATGAACAGACCATTTATATTTATTTATGCATCAGTTGATGCACATGTGAGTTGTTCCCACTTTTGGGCTATTAGAGATAATGTTTCCATGAACATTTGCATCCAACTTTTCACATGGACATATATTTTCAATTCTCTTGGGTATTTACCCAGGAGTGGAATTGCTGGGTCACATGATAACCACACGTTTAGCATTTTCAAGAACGTCAAATTATTTTCCAAAGTGGCTGCACCATTTTACATACTCATGAGCAATGTATGTCCTCTCTAATTAATGTTAAGAGTCTCAATAGTTCAGTTCTATGAAAGTAGAAAGATTTGGTCTGTGGTGGGGTGGTTTCAGCAGTCATATAGCTTCATTGCCATTAGATACATTCACTCATTCAACTATTTTTCTAATCCGTACTTGGTATGTTTGAAGGTGCAAAAATCCCTGCCCTCCTGAAGCTTATATTTAATCAAGGTGGGGGAAGAGAGGAGATGACAGTGGGAAAAATGATGCAAAGGAATTGTTGTTGTAATTAAGGTCATCAATGAAGGCCTCTGTAAGAAGCAAAGATGTGAGGGACTGGAACCTGTGGCTCAAGAGAATAGCAGTGCAAAGGCCCTGAGGCAGGAGTGTGCCTAGCATGTTCAAAGAACATCTAAGAAGCCAGTGTGGATGAAGTGGTTGAACCAGGGGAGGAAGAATAGAGAAGAGACCACAGCAATGACATGGAAGAACTCAGATGGTGATCATCTGGTAGCTCAGTAAGGAGCTGGATTCTTACTCCGAGTGGGATGGGAGGTCATTGGGAGGTTTTGACTAGAGGAGAGACAGGATGTGGCTTACATTGTCAAAGGATCATTATGGGATGTGAGAGGAGATGGATGCCCAGGTTTTGCCTGAGCACCTAGAAGGATGGAGGTTCCCAACGCAAAGGTGGGACAGAAAGGAATTCAAGGGGGAAGGAGTAGTTAGGTCACATTTGAAATGTCAACATCTGAGTGGACTTGTTCAATGGGCAATTGGGTAGAATATTCTGGAATCTAGGAAGATCTCCAGGGACTAGGGATACAGAATTTGAAGTCATCTGTATACAGATAACATTTAAAGCCAAGAGAGGAGATAAGATCAACAAGGGAGTGACTCCAGAAAGAGAGGAAGCCCAAAGGCCAAGCCCTGAGGCCTTCCAACATTTCAAGACAATCCCCTTAATTCTCAATCAAACCGGTGGCATCCATCAACTTCAAGTTCACTTCAACCCTCTGTCCGTGTCTCAGCTGCTCCTTTCCTCTTCACCCTACCAAGCTACCTCCTCTTGATTTTTCCAGTCCCTCTGCAACTTCTGCTACTTCCTTCTACCTCCAAGACCTAGAATCACCTCCCCCTCCCTGTCTGGCAACCTCCCTGCTTTCCTTCCCTCAAGCACCTTCCACCTTCACTTCTTTCCCAAAGCCTCCTTGCTTCTAACACAGTCACGAAGGTCCAGGAGCAAGTATCACCAGCTCCCCTGAGCAGCCAGGGCTCCTCTGCATTGACCGATGGGCCCCATCCATCTGTCCATCTTGAATTATCAGCCCCCAGGGTGGTTAAAAGGTATGCCTTCTGCTGGGCTCAGTGTGAAAGCCGTGCTGCCTATTTCTTCGTTGGCAACTGTAGCCACTGAAACACTGGTGGTGAGTTGAGTGGGTGAACTGCACAGGCTCATGGCTTGGAGGAACTACTTAGAAATGGGGTCCACTTCTCAGCAGGACACCTTCTGGGCCACTTCTCCCCTTGGCAGCCACCTCCTCCTGCCCATAAGCTTTTCCCACGGTTCAGAACCAGCCCCCACTCACCTGGATACAAGAAGAAGGGAGGGAAGACCATCAACAGGTACATTCTCAGCCTCGCACGGGTCCCCCTGGGTCGAGCCAGTCAGTGAGAGCAACCTACAGACTCACTTCCCACTGGTGAATAGAACTGAACGAGAACTTGCAGTGCTGCTCCGTCTCCTAGAAATCGCAGACACAGACCCACCAGGTCAGGCCGGCTCTTACTCAACCCTCTGGACTGGAGGCGGGAACCCAGCTCCAACAGAGAGCCCAGCATTGGACACGATATCCTAAACCTGGAATTTCAGGTGTAGCCAGATTCTCAGGAGCCCAGAAGGTCAGGAGTTCAACCGGGTGAAGGAGGACTTGGGGCCAAAGTCGAAAGTCAGGGGAGAGATTCTGGACCAGAGATTGGCATGAAGATCAGGCCGAGGGGGTATCACAACCCAGCCCGCAAAGAAAGGGGCTCAGAGACAGGGCACCTGGTAGCTCAGTGAGGAGCAAGGGCAAGAGGGGCCTCTGTCCTGAGGACATACCGGAAACTCACTGCTGTGCCCCCGCCCTCCGGTAAGAGCCCATGGATATCACCCCCAGCCTGAATCCTCCATAAACTTGTCAGTAATGCCAAGGGCTCCTTCATGGAGAAACTGGTTCACTGTGCCCTGGCCGTGTGGCTCGGTTGGAAGGTAGTGCTGATATGCCTGGGTTGTGGGTTTGATCCCAGTCAGGGCATATACAATAGGCAACCAGAGGAATGCATAAATAAATGAAACAGCAAATCGATGTTTCTCCTCTCTCTCTCTCTCTCTCTCTCTCTCTCTCTCTCTTTTGCAATCAATCAATAATTTTTTTAAAAAGAAACTAGCTCATTATGCTTGGCTATTCTTCCTCCCTCCTCACCCCGCCCCCTTATAAAACCTATTTTGCTGATGTAGGGAGAGAAACGCACCGGTTCTGCAGGTCTTGCTCCCTTTTTCCTACAACTTGGTGCCCATCCCCCCCATTTGCCTCCCGACTGGGATCCCAGCAAGCCCTCAGGGTGGGGCTCAGAGGTCAGCCTTTCTCATATTTCGCTCCTGGAGCCACTCTGGCCATGTGTCACACACACCCTGTGACATCTTGAGGAGCCACTGAGTCCCGAGGGGAGACCTCAGGCCTTCCTACCGAATCAGGAGTGAACAGGAGAGCAGGGGGGTTCTTTGCACAGAAAAACACAGCAGCTGATGAGCCAGGGCTTTTCCAGGAAGTGGCCAGAGACCGCCTTTCACTTCACAAAATCAACTACCCAATGGGGGGAGAAACCAAGAGGACAGAAGCTTTCCTGAACTTTCTTGGGCGTGGGAGCAGGGAGTGAACAGCCTCTGAGCTGCTCAGGGTTCTGCCTGTGGCCCAGCCCCTGATCCCGGGCCGCTGGCCCCCGCCAACCCAAGGAGGCTGCCCTTGGAGTCCAGAGCCGGGAGATGTTATCTGGTTGTCTCTGAGTGACGGCAAGACTGCTCCTCTAAGTGCCTCTGGGGACTCCAGGAGAGGCGGGCTCTGCTGGGGCCCTGTGTCCTCAGTTACCTCCCCAGGCTCACAGGCTCCCACAAAAGAGGGGATGGAACGGGCCAGTGAGAGTCCTCCTGCACTGAAGCACCCTCGGGTATGTGTGCGTGAATGGGTGCATGTGTGCACCTGACGGTGGCTCCCCTGGTGGCTCCCCTCTCAGCTCTGCTCCGTGGGCCTTCAAGCTTCTCACTTCTCTGTGAAAGTGAGGAAGAGGCAGATGCACCCTGAGGCTGCTGGAGCTTAACTGTCAGCACCCCTCACTTGATCAGGCTCCTTTCAAAGCCCTGCATCCAATGCTGTGTTCATGACGTAGGTCCTCTTTCCTAAAAACCGGCGTCAACATTGTATAAGCTTCAGGCCTGTGATAGATGGTCCCACCCTCTGCTCTTTACTCCACCGTTGTTCTCACTGAAGGGGAGGGTCTATCCCCCACTCTCACCCCCACCCCATCCTTGAGTCTGGACCAGACCTGTGCCCTACTTTCCCAAGAAAACCCAGCAGAAGTAACGGTGCACCAGTTCCAGACTCAGCCTGCGGAGGCCTCCTGTGCTCCCTCTTGCTCTCATTCACCTCTGCCTCTGCCGTGACGACGCACGGGCCAGCGTTGGGTGGATGGAGACACGTGGAGCAGAGCCAAGCTGCCCCAGCCAACAGCCAACCAACCCTCAACGCCCAAGGGAGCTCGCCTGAGCCCAGAAGCGCCTCCCAGATCAAACCCCTCCCTCACAGACTCACTCTGTGCCACTGTGTTTGGGACCATTCATCGCAGCCTTCTTGTGGCAACAGAACATTTAGAGAAGATCCTGCAAACCTAGACCCGCCCTTCAGCAGCTGCCTCACCCCCCACTCCGTACCCCTTTAGCTGCCCCTGGCTCGGTCCACCCAGCTGCTCTCTGCCCCTTTGACTTCCCCTCACAGCTCCTCAAGGATGACCCCCACCCACACCTCTTCCTCGGATGTGGTTCAGAAGAGAACAGACCAGTGTTACCGGCAGGGAGAGGTCCTCGTCTCCCCCCCATTGCTCGTGGGAGTGGATTTTCTGCAATTTCCCAAGAAAAAGCATTTTCTGAGACTTGTATGGGAGAACGAGTGGCTTTTATTCGCATGGAATTAACTCCCAGAGTTTCCCTTTGTCCCACAAGGAAGAAGCGTGGCTGTGGCTTCCATCGGGCTGGCGTCCAGAGTTTCCTCGCTGCCGTGTACGCGCAGTGCAACTCAGAGTCAGGCAGGCTCAGCTCGTGTTCCCCCTGCACCCATCAGTCCACTGCATGTGGGGTCCGCATGGTCGTGGGCCCTACAGGCGGATGCAAGGAAGCTTAGAGCAACACGGCCAACAGTCACACGAGCCAACTCCTTTGTTTAGGGGATTATGTGTTCCCAAATTTTCCTGGGCTTGCCTTGGCTCCACCCATTCTGGCCAAATATGGTTCCCCAGGCTTGACTGACAGGCAAGTACCTTCCCTAGTCACCCCAACTTCGCTGTTCATGCATCTATTTCCCCTTGGTTGGACCCCTCCCCACAGTGATTCTGCAGGGAATGGGCTGGTGGTTCCCTGGGGAGTGCAAAGTGGCAGCTTCCAAATGACAGGCGTATAATGTCTGGCCTTCCCTTTGCTCCTTTCCTTTATTAATAACTAGCGAGCTTTTTACAAAGATGGTGCCAAAAGCTAAGAAGGAAGCCCCTGCCCCTCCCAAAGCCAAAGCCAAAGCAAAGGCTTTGAAGGCAAAGAAAGCAGCGCTGAAAGGCGTCCACAGCCACATGAAAAAGAAGACCCCCACGTCACCCACCTTCCGACGGCCAAAGACACTGAGGCTCGGAAGGCCGCCTGAATATCCCTGGAAGAGTGACCCCAGGAGAAACAAGCCTGCCCACTGTGCCATCATCAAATTCCCCGACTACTGAGTCAGCCATGGAGAAGATAGAAGACAACAAGGCACTGTGTTCCTTGTGGATGTCAAGGCCAACAAGCACCAGCTCAAACAGGCTGTGAGAAGCTCTACGACATTGATGTGGCCAAGGTCAACGCCCTGATCAGGCCTGATGGAGAGAAGAAGGCATATGTTCGACTGGCTCTTGGCTATGATGCTTTGGATGTTGCCAACAAAATTGGGATCATCTAACCTGAGTCCATTGCCTAATTCTAAATACAAAAATTTTACACTGAAAAAAAAAAACACCCTAGCTGTGGTATCACTTGGACCACTAGAACCATCTGTGGCATGTGATTCAAAACAAGAAGTTGGTCTAAATTACAAAAGCAATACATGTTCATGTTAGGAAAATAAATTGTGAAACACACTATGAACAACTCTATTCCAACAAACTAGACAACCTAGAGGAAGTGGACATTTTCCTAGAAAAATACAACCTCCCAAAGCTCAATCAGGAAGAATCTAAAAATCTCAATAGGCCGATAACTATGGAGGAAATTGAAGCAGTCATCAAAAAGCTTTCAACAAACAAAAGCCCAGGGCCAGACAGCTTCACAGGGGAGTTTTACCAAACATTCAAAGAAGAACTAAAACCTATCCTCCTCAGACTATTCCAAAAAATTCAAGAGGAAGGAACACTTCCAAGCTCATTCTATGAAGCCAGCATTACCCTAATTCCAAAACCAGATAAAGACAACACAAAGAAAGAGAATTAAAGGCCAATATCCCTCATGAACACAGATGCCAAAATCCTCGACAAATTCTAACAAATTGGATCCAACATTACATTAGAAAGATCATACACCATGACCAAGTAGGATTTATCCTGGGGATGCAAGGATGGTACAATATCCACAAATCAATAAACGTGATACATCACATAAACAAAATGAGAGATTTTTTAAAAAATTGTGAAAACACAGATAAGGTAAAAAAAAAAAAAGATTTAATTGCCTCTAATCTCACCACCCCAAGATAATCACTTTAACATCTTTTATCTCTTCCTGCAGAAATGCATTATTTCAGAAATCAAGCAGAGTCGCTGATGTGTTACATGAGTTCATGTCACTCGTTGCTCAATAGATTTTTGTTGTCAACTTTGGGGAAAGATGTCCTATAAACAAATATTGTCAATGTATTTGTCTTGGTGGAAATGCATACGGCAACTGCAAGCCCACACTCCTCTTGGTCAGTGTAGACTTGCAAACTACAGCTAATCTGCTATCAGAACCCAATCTGCCCATAGGTGATGGAGCCCGGTTAGTTGCATCTCTCCCACTCTGGATTATAGGGCTGTATCCCGAGTGGCTAAAACCACATTGGGCACATAGTAGATACTCAATAAATAACTGATGGAAAATGAATAAATGAATGAACTATTTTTACTGCATTGTTATTCTTCCCCTGGATGCTTGCCTTGCAAAGTAACTCTTGTCCATTTTGAAAGTAAGGCATTTATCCACTTATTTACAGTATTCATCCCTTCATTCACTCACTGAGAGACTGCTGGGTACCAGCTCTTGGGTGTGTGTACAGGGTGGGGCAAAAGTAGGTTTATAGTTGTGAGTACAGGAAACACAGAGTTTATTCTTTCTTTTTCTTTTTCTTTTTTTAAATCCTCACCTGAGGATATTTTCCTACTGATTTTTAGAGAGAATGGAACAGAGAGAAAAAGACAGAGAGAAACACTGATGTGAGAGAAACACCCATTGGTTGCCTCCTGCACAGAGCCTGGGCCAGGGAGGAGCCTGCAACCGAGGTACATGCTCTGGACCAAAATCAAACCCGGGACCCTTCGGTCCGCAGGCCAACGCTCCATCCACTGAGCCAGACTGGCTAGGAGCAGAGTTTATTCTTGTACTATTATGTATTAATTATTCAGCACCTGAACTTCCACGCTAATTCTCCAGCTTCTTCCTCCCAGTACAATGTGTCCTTCCCCTCTTTTCCCAAACTCTGCTTCTCTTTGAAATGTTCTCTCCACAGCCTTGTTCCAGGGCCAAGTGCAAACTCTTTCCTCCCAAGGCATGTAGCCTGACATGCTGATCTTTCCTGTCACTCCTGCTTGAGACTTCCCCATACTGAGGGCCCGTGGTGCCAGTCCAGGTCTCCCAGGAAGCAGGTGTGGAAAGGGAACTCACTGTGCAGGGACTGTTTTAGGGGAAACACCAGGTAGAAACCAGGAGAGGCACGGAGAGCCTGCAGACCATGCTCTGACCCCAAGTGAAGGACAGAGGCCACCAGGCAGTCTCTGGAAGGTTCTGTAAAACCATGAGGAGGTCCCCCAGCCGAAAGCAGCCATGAGGAGGTCCTGTATCCCCAGAAACAAGCCCCGCCTCCAAATCCCTGCCACGCTCCGCCTTTGGCTGGGATTCCCGAGTGAAGTGGCCTCCGGGCACACACACCAGTGGTGGATTGCAGAGCTTGCAGAGCGGGGGTGGTGGGGGGGCAGTTATACCTCCGAGGTTAGGAGCGTGAGAGGCACCTTCTCATGGTCACTTCAGACGTTTCTTAACTTGGGATGAAACAAGATTTCCTCTATGCTTTCCTGCCTTCTTCAGCGAATGTGCATCCGTGTGTATGAGTGTGTCTCTGGGTGTGTTTGTGTGTGCACCCTATGTATGTGCATCTGTGTTTAAGAGTGTGTCTCTGTACATGTTGTGTGTATGCGCATACCCTCTGTCTATGTGTGCATCTGTGTGAATGTGTCTGTGTGTGGGTTTGTGTGTGTGTGTGTGCGCACATGTGTATGTGTGTTTACAAGGAGCCCACTGTCCCAGACACAACACCATCTCAGAAACCTGCTTCACACTGCAGCTCCCGCCTCTCCGTTGCTCCCTTCAGACCATCCTGGTGGGCGACAGTGGCGTGGGGAAGACATCTCTGCTGGTCCAGTTCGACCAGGGCAAGTTCATCCCCGGCTCCTTCTCGGCCACCGTGGGCATCGGATTCACAGTAAGTGCTCCCAGCCTCCAGGGCCCCAGGTTGGCTCTGTCAGGGTCCCAGCAGGAAGCAGGTGGTCACTCGCATTGGATCATTCTAGAAGGTTTAATAAACAGACTATTGACCAAGGTGTAGGCAGGGTGCTGGGAAACCAGGAGGGATGGTGCAGTGTTTTGGGGTCCTTATAGGGCTTCCATCCCCCACCCCACTTCCCAGCCTAAGAGAGGTGAGAGGAGGGAACCATCACAGACCCAGGGACCAAGAGGGCTGTGTGCAGGGGGCTGGTGGGCAGGAGCTGTGACCATCAGTGGAGGAACGCAGCAAAGCCCAGTAACCCTCCCCCCACACTGCCCTCCTCCTGCCCCCCCCCATATCCTATGGGGCTCCCCATTGACGGCACACAACCGGAAGCTGGAAAACAAGGACATGTGTTGATACAGATTGCCCAAGTCCACCTCCAAGGCAATAAGAACCTGGGGAGGCAAGGGTGTGGCTTAAAATGACAAAAACAGTCCAATCCTGGCATTGTGGTCCTAGGGCACTGGGAGGGCAAAGGTTAAAGTTCTTCTTTTAGCTCTTGGTCTCTCCCTGGACACAGCACGGGGGCCGCTCAGATTAGAGAAGTGGTCCCAACCAGTAGCCCCTCGTGGGCCAGGAAGGGCTCCCTCCACCCCTCGCCCTCTGTCCACTCTCACCAGGACTGCGGCTGCTCAGTGACCCCTGATCCCGGGAAGGCCTCTGAGGGGACTTGGCTCTGGGCATGGACTATTCTCAGGAGCTGCAGGGCCCTTCTTTGGGGTCTCCAGAGTCCTGGGGAGGAGCACATGGCATTTCTTGGGCAGCGTGGGTGTTTGGGAGGCCAGCCTCTGGGACCGACAGAGCACAGGCCTGCGAGGCCACTCGGCTGGGACACAGCAGAGTCCCGCTCGTGGAAAGAGACAGGGGAAACCCCAGACACTGAGCTTGCCCGGGTCACAGGGAGGAAGGCCAGGGCCCACCACGGACAGGGCTTCCGAGTGAGGCTGAAATGTGAGCTCAGCACAGGTGCTGACCCCAGAATCCAACCTGACACCCAGTGCCCCCAGCTCCCCGGCCACTGGGAGCAGCTGGGCTCCAGAGTGCAGGGCTGAGCCCCAGGAGGGCGAGGCTGTGCTGACGGCACCTGAAGCCTTCCACGACTCGAACCAGGCTGGCTGGTGCTGGGCGTCCCCCACCACGGGCGCATGCCCCGCCTGCCCCCTCAGCACACAGGGCCCACGGTGCCCTCAGAGTCACACTCCACTCCCTGACCTCTTCCCACCGGTCAGACTCAGAGGGCAGAGTGTGGGCTGGACATGGGTGTGGCTATGGTGCACAAACTCTCATTCACGCTCCACAGATGCACAGGGTGGGACCTCCGAGTTGTGCCGCTGGCTTGTGAGAAGGGAGGACATGATGGTTCAATTGAGAGCCTGGCGCTGCCTGAGACAGGACAGGCCCGGCTCTCCCTCTCTCCTGGGCTGGACCTTCACGGGATGTCCCGGAGACTCTGCTCAAAATGCTTCACAACTTCATGAATTCATCTGATACCAAACGATTAGGGCCTACTAATTCCCAAAGGCAGAGGGCCACGCGTGGGAAGGCCAGCCCTGCCTTCAGGAGCGCCAACTGAGACGCAGCCACAAAGGCACTGCGTCCCGGGAGTCCCAGGGTCTCAGGGCAAAGGGCGCGGGGAGGGGTGGCCCTCAGAACCCTCACAGGAGTCCCCAGCCCACCTTGCGCGTGAGATCTTAGCTCCGACTGCAGGGTGGGGAGAGCTCGGAGGCGGGGAGAGCCCGTGATGGGACATTCTGGACGCAGCCCCGCAGGTCAGGGAGAAATGAGAGGCGGTCTGCGCTAAAGGGTCAAAGTTCCAGCACCAACCAACCAGGGCCCATGGGCTGCAAGGTGCATATCGGTCGGTAACTAAAATTACATTCACACGAGCTCGGGCTGGGCTGCGTAGTAACAGTGAGGCTGCCTGGGCTCAAACGCAGCAGCATCCCGCAGGTCAGGGGCGTCCCCGGGGCACCTGTGGACCGCCAGCTGGCGAGGCTCGGGCGCCGCCTGCTGGCCGCGCTGCGCAGCGACAGCGGAAACCCCGGCGCCGGTGCGCGGGTCCCAGTGATGCCAGATCTTCCGTACCAGGCCGGGTGCACACGCACCGCCACCCGTGGGAACTTAACCCCGACGGCTGGCGACTTTGGGAAACCGGTCCTCGGGGTGGATCTGGCCCCCGCCTCAGAGCCAGAAGCCGGTTCAGTGTTGCGCCGGGCTCCCGCTGCCCCCCGGGCGCGGCGCTGGCGGGCGGC